TGAGATCCTGCTGGTTTTCAGCGAACTAACACTTGTCTACATGGAGTTTTTAATGTGTTATTTTCGTGGCCAAACCAGCTGTACTTGCTAGAGATGGGTTTAATCCATCTAATATTCTGTTTTGTCTGCAGAACGTCAGAGATGGCCGAAAGGCCAGGGTGCTCGCTTGTGAGACGGTGGACGGTGAACCGACGCTCATTCTGCGCGCATCCTTTTTGTCTCGCCAGATAGTTGAATTGTACATTTCTGGACCTCCTGCGTCTCCATACTACTAAAAAGAATTCCGGATTGATGAGGCCAGTAGCGACAACCGCAAAGGCAGGGCGACTTATAAAGTTGGAGTGACTGACTCCAATTCTGGTATCAAAACAGTAAGTCATAGCACAATGCACAATGCTATACTACTGGCTGCCTGTTGGCGTTTTGTGAATTTTAAGCGGTTATTCCGCAGTAGCTGATAGATTTCAGCTCAAATATTCATATCAAATTTTGGACCGTGCCTGAAAAGGCCTGTTTCGAAAGAGTTACTCCAAGTTCGCACATTAATTTCCTCGGAAATTAAGCAAGGCAAGTAAGTCATAGTGTCAACAGAAGGTACTAAGGCCTTGTATAAAATTCTTGCATATTCAAAGGCAAGTATTTTGGACAACTTTCACCTTACGCAAGTGTTCACTAAACTCAATGATCGGGATTTGGGCCCAGCAGATCTTGAATAAATCGTAATTTATTGGTGGTTTTACGACGAAATAAATCCGTTGTCCCGGTTTTGTCAGAGAACAAATTTGGGGAACGTTCTGGTTTACACGTGAAGAATCTCTGAGAACAGACGACTTTCAATACAGAGTTCACGGAGGAGAACCAGTCGATGTTCATGCCAAACCTATGTACGGCGTTCCCGTTTATCTCCTTTAGCTTGCCTTTCATTCTGAAATATTCATATTCTCTCAGTGCGCAAATGTTGGGCACAGAAAAGGACTATATTCCAAATAGGAACGCGACAACCACTTCTGCCAGAAGGCATTCTCTTAAACTACATACGATTGGCACGTGATTGGAGGACTAGGAGTGAGTGATAACCCAAACCCAAGACCCATCTCCAGCATATAGTACTTATGGAGCTCAAACAGATAGACTACTGTCCATTGCGGAAACGCGCGTCCATCTTAATGTGTTGGCAAGGTACTCATCAGTGATTATCTGAAAATTTTCTGTCCTTATGAGTTTTCTGATCGCGTACAGTACATTAATCCCATCTTTGCGTCCAAAAAGTTGAAATCTCCGGGTTACATTACGTCTTCGTTGTGTAGGACGAGGGCTCAGTGTCCCCATCTTTCGACTGTCTCAGGGATCTGTATACCAGGGCATTATGGAGATCCAGTTGGTTTGGTACTTCCAAGTAACAACAGACAATTGAAAAACCGGTGTCGTTCATTTAGGTAGGCTCATCCGCGACGCATTTGATACTAACACATACTAACGTCGGCAATTTAATGTTGTAACGATTCTACTACCAACATTTAAGTAATATATGTTTGCGTAATTTATTGAGTTTGGACCACGTCGCACACCTCTGTTCGCATTCACCACGGTGCCCGTAGACTAAGCAATTTTACTTCTTCTCCCGAATCCTAAGTGTGCCTCAACTGTCCGCTGTATTTGATCAACAAAGCAAGTTAATGTGCCTCTAAATTCTGTTAACGCATGACAGTCTTTGTTCATCTGTACAGTTTTTGGTATTCCCCTCGCATTTCTTTCATGTTACTTCCTTTCCATTTCATCCATATATATCCTCTGCATGTAACCAATAGGGATTTCAAAGGAACACACCTACGTTCCCTGAAATATACTGATACTGATACTAACTTCACGATTGCTTTTCGCCTTTCGTCCGCTTAGTCCCAAACAAATAGGCTAAAAGCCGTCCAATGCGCCTTCTACCTTTTTATCTGCTCAGTTGACCATGTTTCCGTAAAATCCCTTCATTCGGATTAGCAACCGAATACTGCCAGTTTACTTTCATTGCATTTGCTGAATAGAGACTGTATGTTTGTTTACATAATTATCACAGTATCTGATTCTCTTGATTTTCTAAGATTTTTGTCGGTTCACATTCTTTAAAAATACTGCTGAACGTTTCGAATGTCATATCCAGTTAAGGCTCAAAGCTTACAACTACAGCGGTTTACTTATACTGGCCTTCGGTATGTAATGAAGAACTGAAATAAGAAATTGCATAAGGCGAAAGAAAAACGCGACCATGCACGTCACAGCAGGTAAAGCCAGCCTTAAAATGCCCGCGTTAAGTCGGCTAGCCAACCAGCGTGTGCTGAATTCTCAAGTCATTATGATGTTTGTACTCATGCGTACGGCTCAGTCAATGGCCGGCCCCTTCATTCGAGATTTTCCGACGAATGGGTTTGTAACAGCCTATCCAGTGCTCCCTATGTCTGTAAATGACCGCGAAAACCACACTTACCTCCAGACGCGCCCCTGGCTCATGGTTACTCCTCGGGTCTGAGCTAGGACGTCTCATATTCAGTTGTAATGAGTCACGGTTGCGCACATAATCTTTTGCCGCCCACCGCGCGTCGGGCAGTCCGACTTGTTATCCATGTGCCTTTGTTATCATGCCACCCGACCCTGGCCTTAAACCAACCAATTACATGGCCAACACTCGGCTAGATATCCCCATATACAGACACGAACATGTGACATCCGTGTTAACAACACACCGCGACTAACCCTCTCTCGGACGAAATCTCCCCCTGACACACACACTTACAACCGACTCACGGCCACCTGGCCTGTGTACAAAATAAACCTGTTCTCACAGCTCCCTGACTTCCGACATAGGACAGGACGAAATTACTGTGTGCGGTTACAACTGATCTTACGTCCCTGATTGCAGCAGGTCGTCGCCATGGAAACAACCAATCAATAACAACCAGGACATATGCCAAAATTCTCTAGAACCGTAATGAGTCCAATAAATATGGCGAGTTTTGGCGAACTTGTGGCGATAATATTCGGTCTGGCAGAATAAGAGGGTTGTTCCCGGAACTCATCCTTGTCTTTCATGCACCCGTCGGGACAAAACAGTGCGTCTTCTGTTAGGGTCAAGCGATAACGTCACGCTCCAATTTGAGTACTCACTGTTTTCCAAACCACTTTGCCCGATAGGTGGGAGAGAAACGTTTGGGAGGGGGATTTTTCTCTCATGAGGAGAGAAGCGGCAGCTGTAGCACGGGAGACTGAACTTCCTGGTGGAGCAAACGACAAATGGAATACATTCAGTTTCTTACGAAAAGTGATCGTTTATTCCGACTGCCCTCTCAGAAGAAGGAGAACTGCAAATCGCCCAACTTGAACAAACTCGGAACTAAGGGCGTCTTTCAAATAGGAATCGCCTGTGAAGACGTCACAGACTAACCGACTCCGAAGAACACTTCCGGGAATCTGAGCAGCAACGCAACGCTTGTAAAAGGGAAGCTTCCAAGCTGCAAAGAAAGTTCGAGCTACATACTGCAAAATTCGTTGGAGCATCCACAAATTATATATGGCTATATATGGAGTACTAAAAGGACTCAGGAACTGATCCCCGCCTGTAGGTCTGCAGATGGAAAAGTGAAAACTGATGATCAGGCTAAAGCGTTCCTCCCTTCTAACTTCTTTCAGTCCGTCTTCACCATAGAACGTAGTTCAATATTTGTCCATCCATCCGCTCCCCAATCAATGTCTCCTCCTAGTTTCCTTCCCCCTCTTATCCCTTCTCTACCCTCCTCAATTGAGGAACCATCCTTTTCATCGACCATAGTTAGGGCCGAACTACTCCGGCCGAAACCTGTCAAATCGCCTGGCTCAGATGGGATTTCCACACTAGCACTTCGTGAACTTGCTACTGAAATATGCAAACCATTGTCTGCAATATTTCAATGGTCATTTGGGGATGGCGAGCTCCCGGAAGAATGGAAGTGCGCACTCATCACTCCGATCCATAAAGAGGGCTCACGACTTGACTGTGGAAATTATCGTCCCGTCAGTCTTACTTGCATCGCGTGTGAAATAATGGAGCACGTTATCAAAAGACATTTGATGCAATGCCTGGGAAAAATCAAAATATTGTGTAATGCCCAAAATGGCTTACTTCCAGGACGCTCCTGCCTAACAAGTGTTCCTTACTCGTACGAGAAATGGATAAGGGCTACCGATAAGGGTTATCCAGTGGATGTCATATTTTTTACTTCAAGAAGGTCTTTGACAGTGTTCCACACTAGCTTCTTTTACGGAAGATTTCTGGTGTAGAAATTCAAGGAAAAATGTTTAAATGAATCAGGAGTTTTCTGTCCTCCAGGGTACAAAGAGTCCAGATGATAGATCCGCAAAAGTTCTCTATGAACTCGCAGACCTCCTAGCTTGCCCACTCTCCAAGATCTTCAAAAGTTCCACGAAAGCATGCGCTCTGCCTACTGACTGGAAGCTAGCCAACATCAATCCCATATATAAAGGGCGAGAAAGAACCTCGCCAAATAGCTTCAGACCAGTGAGTCTCATAAGTATTTGTTGCAAAATAATGGAGAAAATAGTGAAAACGGGTTCTGATGAGAAATAATGACGAGTATAGTTTGCTTAGTGAGCATCAGCATGGATTTACAGGTGGTCGATCCTGTCTCACTAACCTGCTCACATCCATAGAAAGTTGGAAGAAATCCCTAGAGATGGGTTTGTCAGTAGATGCAGCTTACATTGAATTCAGCAAAGCCTTCGACAGGGTGTCTCACAGACGGCCCATGTCTAAATAGCGCCATATGGATGTGACTGGTAACATTCTGAAGTGGTTCAGTTCAGTTTATTGAGGGAAATAGGCGTAAGCTTTTGAGTGCCGTATTTGCAACGTAAAAAATGTGTGGTATACAGATAAATGTTCTGGGCTGAAATAGTTCAAACACGCCCATAATTTTAGGACAAAATGAGAACGGGTTACAGGGGGTGAGCTCTACTTCTCATCGCTCTTGGTCATTTTCGAACATAAATGTGTCAAGATTCTTTTTAAATCTTTGTATGGATGGTGACATCACAACATCCGCGGGAAGGGCATTCCATGGTTTGACCACTCGAACAGAGAAGGAGAACTTCCGTACATCCAACCTTGCATGCTGAGTGCGCAGTTTTAACGGGTGACCTCGGAGGTCGGTCGTGGTAGCAAATTCAAAGAAGTCCTCGAAGGCCAGACTGCAATCCAAACCCTTAACAATGCGAAAGGCTTGCAACAGATTCCCGCGAAGTTGGCTGTAACTCAAAGTTAAGAGGTTCAGATTTACTGGGCGAGTTGCATAAGGAAAGGAGCTTTGACCCCTAACCATCTTCGTGGCTCTCCTCTGAACCCTTTCGAGGCAGTTTTGAGCCTCAACAGCCCACGGCCTCCAAGCTTGTATGCCGTACTCTAAATGCGGCCGGACGAATGTTCCGAATTTCTTTGAGAAATCATCTTCGTCAAAGTCCATAACCGCACGCTCGATGGAGTACAGTACGGACATTGCGGTGTTTGCCACTCTCGAACAGTGGGCGGATGGCTTTAGGGAACTGGTCGTCAGCACACCAAGGACTTTTTGGGCATCGACCTCTTGTAGGGCTGCACTGCCCAGAAAGTAGCCTCTTGTGCTGGCGGATCTGGCTGTGTGGCCTAGGCGAAGTATGCTACATTTGGCAACGTTGAACCGCAGGAGCCAACGGTTTGACCACTCCTCCAACCGATTCAGGTTCATCTGCAGTCTGTCTTCGTCGGCAGGACCCCGAATTACACTCCATATCTTCATGTCGCCAGCAAACATTGCTACTTCACAGTCTAAAGCTCTTGGAGCACCGTCCACGTAGATAAGGGACAAAATGGGTCCCAGTACTGAACCCTGGTGGACACCACTCTCGACCATAGCAGGGTCTGATTTTCCCCGACCGATGCAGACAACCTGGTGTCGACCCACAAGGAAGTTTTCAATCCATTTAAGGAAGTTGCCACCGATCCCTATTTTTTAAGTTTATGTAGGAGCCTCTGGTGTGGCACAGTGTCGAACGCCTTCTGGATGTCGATGAAGGCTATGTGGACCGCGTGCCTGTCGTCGAGAGCTTGGGTCCTGCTCTGGAGAGATTGCAGCAAGTTTGACGTGCAGGATCGTCCCTTCCGGAACCCATGTTGGCATTTCGATAGTAGGCCGTGAACTTCCAGGAATTGCATCAGTTCACTCTTTATGGTCCTTTCCATCACTTTGCAGAAAATGCATGTCAAGCTTATGGGCCTGTACTTTGTCGTCGCTGCCCTGTTACCTCCTTTGTGTAGCGGAGTAATATGCGCCAGCTTCCAATCGATAGGAAGTGTTCCAATGTCAAAGGACGTTTGAAAGAGCATCGACAAGTGCACATAAAGCTCACTGGCAAGTTCTTTGAGAAGCTTGGGTGGAATCTCGTCTGTTCCTGGTGACTTCGATTCGTTCAGTGCCTCCAATTCTCTTCGGACAATGCCTTCTGAGAAGAGTATATCGCGGACTCTTGGGGTCGGCAGTCCTTCTGTGGAGGGAGCAATGAACCTTGACTCGTTTGTGTAGACTGATTGGAAAAACTGTGAAAAATACGCAGTTTTATCTCTACTATCAGCAATCTCAACGCCATCAGTAGTCCTTATTAAGGGGATTTGATGCCTGTTCCTTGTACTTCGTCGGAGGTAACTGTAGAGTAATTTTGGGTTCTGCGTTGCTTTTTGTAGCAAGTTCTTCTCGAATTCCCGTCGCGTTTTCATGATCAGGTTCCTCAGTTTGTTCCTCTGTGTCTTGTAGGTGTTGAAATATTCAACTTGCCCAGTGACGCAGTATCTTCTCCACAATTTGTGCTTTCTGTTGATTTCTTTCTTAAGGTTTCTATTTAGCCACCCTGAGCGTTTATTCAGTCGTACACTAGTCAGTGGGCAGTGGTTATTGATAAGCTGCAGAAGGACATTCTTGAAGAGCTCCCAGTCATCGTTGGCATTTCCCGTAAACAACGAGCCACAGTCGAGACCGGATAAGTTTGCCCTCATCTGATAGAAGTTGCCTTGCCAAACATTCCGTCTTTTTGGTCTGGATAATGCGAAATGGAGAATAACAATAATCCCACATCAGCATTATGTGATCAATTCGGCCAAGAGGCGGCATGGAGGCGATCTCGTCTATGCTGTCTGGTGTTTTCGTAAAAACCAGATCAAGGCAGTTTGCCCTTTGTCCTTCAAGTGTTCTCGTTGGGAACATGACATGTTGTGTGAGTGACGCCTTTAATGTTTTGTTCATCAGACGGTAATCGAATGCCGATTTTGGACCTGACGCTTGGAGGGTATTCCAGTTTGTTCCTGGTGCGTTGAAGTCGCCCATGATCAGGACGTTAGGACGATTGGAAAATTTCTCCAGCTGCTCTAATAGTTGAGTGTCGGCGATATGGTCTGTCCTAGGTGGTCGGTAGACAGTGAGGACATCGAGACACGGGGAACCGGTAGCCTGGATGGTCAACCAAATAGCTTCCGTGTCGCACGCAAACTTGGTGGTGTTTTCCGACACTGCCAGGCCTTCATTCACATACACAACTATACCACTACCCTGACGATGTTCCCTGTCCCTCCGATAAATCTGGTATCCAGGCAAGGCTACTTCGTTATCGCTAATATTCCCGGACAGCCAGGTTGGTTGGCCGACTTCATCACAGGCCAACATCAGCGGGTGTGCATTCATGGTGCCAAATCGGAGTGGGAAACCGTTCACAGTGGTGTTCCATAGGGGAGCGTCCTAGGTCCCATCCTGTCTTTGATATATGTGAACGATTGTCTGGACTGCCTAACCTGCGAGAAGGTAGTGTTTGCTGGTGACTATAAGATGTGGAGTTCGACTGAAAAGCCAGAGGACGCGCTAAACTTGCAATACAACTTTAATCGACTGCAACAGTGGTGTGATGAGTGGCGTCTCAGCCTTAAATTCAGCAAATATCAGTTCATCAAACCAAGGTCGAGTTACAGAAAGGATTTGGGATTTGAATATCACTATTTTCTCAGCGGTCACGAAGTCGAGCTTGTAAATGAGATAAAGGACCTTGGTGTGTGGATGACGTCCACTCATAAAGCCTCGTTTCACTGCGCCAAGATAGTAAAGAAGGCTATGGGCATCCTGGGGGCAATCAGGATATCCCCCTTAAATTCGACGAAGAGCTTTCAGTCGACTGTTTGGAACATTTATCTGACCGATTTTCAGTATTCAAGCATGACACCCCCGGATGAAGTAGGATTGCACTCTCTTGCAGAAGATGCAACTTAGAGTGACTGAACTAGTCGGTGAGCTGAAGAGTCTACCTTGTGAGGAACGGCTAGAATGACTCAAACTTTTCCATATCTATTGTAGGCAAAACAGAGAGGACATGATCATGGAATTCAAACTTGTCAGAAGAGTAGACTGTGCGCTCAAATTGGCCGATTTTTTTTTAACTAGCACAAATGACAAATCTCCGAGGTCACAGATATAAATTGAAGACAAAGTACACCAAACTTGAAGTACGGGCGAAGTTTTCTTCTCACCGGATGATTGGGGATTGGAACAAACTACCTGATTCAGTTGTTCTGGCGGAAATCGTTGAGATTTTTAAGCAAAGACCTGATGACATTTTATATGATGATCACGTATTTACTTGATAAGAACTGCTAAAATATACCGGTGTATATACGTGAAAAGATGTACGTTTTTTCAGTCTATGTCGGTAAATAGGGTTTTCAAAGGCTATGCCTATCTCCCTTATATACAATGAATTATACATCGGAATGGGCAAAGGTGTCAAGTAGTGTCCACAAGGTTCTGTTTTACGCCCAGTGCTCTTCCTGATTTATGTTAGACCTGAC